CCCCGAAAAAAAAAATGTGTTTCTCTTTTTTTTGCAAAGTTTACGCTGATTTAACATCGAACCAAGGATTGATACTAAACATGTTTTTAATTAATCATTTTTGTAACGTTTACTAGGATTTTGATACTAAATTAAGCATACAATTTGCCAAAAAAATCTCGTAGGTTTATTTAGTTTTTTTTTTTTCTGCAAACTGTTTTGTACTTTTTAGTGCGTCTGTCGTTTTTTAATTGTTTCTCAGAGATATATAGTTACTACCACAAATATGCCATCTATTATTGCAGAATCAATCAAGAAATAAGTTTCATTCACTCTATTGCCAATCTATGGATAAAATCGACAAATAAAACTGCCATCTAAAAGTGCTGCTTGTTCTTCATTTGATTGATTAATCACGGAGTTTTTTTTAATGTGTTCTGATAAACATTCTTATAAACATTGGTTTAGTGTGACTTGTTAATTGATAAATTAATAAAAAAAACTTAATTAAATATTTATACAGATTTGTAGAGAGGATAAACAGAGAATGCTTTGTCGTAAGATTATTTAATAAGGTTATTAGTTTCAATATTTCACTCGAAAAAAACGCTCGGTCTGTAGTCTTTCTAAATGTGAGGTTTCGTTTTTGAATCGAAAAGATTGCTTGAAATAGCCCTATTAGGTCCTCTACCTAACCTAACGAGTCCGAATTTAATTAATTTGAGCCGCGTATCAAATGCTATAAAAACCAGTTTCGATTAAGCACCACCGGCTTAAAGCTTGAAACATTTATTTCAATTCAATGTTATCTTTAAGCCGCGGCTCAAATTCTTGAATAAATTTGGCCTCAGTCCTCACAACATTATACTTTGTGTCAGCATTGTTTAGACAGCCTAACATTTCTTTCACATTAAAGTAAGATGTAATACTTCTAAACCTTCTTATGAATATATTCGGGTGGGGTGGGTGGGGGGGTTGGAGAACCCCCAGCCGCCATGAGCCTCCTAGAGATGCAATGCAGTGCGAGTTGTGTTCCATGAGTGCGAGCCTATGCTATTCCTGCTATACAGCACAGTTTCTGTAAAAACTTCTGTTTTTTAATCATGTATTAAAGAATTCTTGGCATAGAAGTGGCACAAGAATGTTACTAAAGATTAGAGTTATTTATTTATTGACATGATTTTATATAAGATTTAAGTGTGTGTTTGAAACACTGAGGCTCATATACTGTATAGCGGAGGCTCATGTTGCCTGGGAGTTCCCTCCTGCGCTGGGAGGGGGGGGGGAGGAGATGATGATGTTATTGCCTGCAGAAATTAATTACATTATAGGAAAAACTCTGATAACTGCAGTATAAACTCCATGCGTACAAGAAATAACTCAGACGCAGAGGGAGGCCCCCCCCTACATAATTCAGATTGCGCAGTATTTTACTGCATTTATGTTTTTAATCATTTATTGTGGAAAAAATCTTCAAATTTTAAACTGATTTAAAATTACCATATTTTCAGTGCCATACTAAACAAAAATCACCATTTAGTGTGGTATTACTTATCAGAACCCGATACCACTCATGTCCGATTTACAACATTACTTAAGTTTTGTTTGATCAAGTTTGAATTAAATATCAATTGTTTTGTTCATGAAAACATTTTATTTTCATTTGTGGTTTCTCGACGAAAATTACTCGAGAATTTTTTTCAGAATTAATCCGAATTGAACACTTTTCAAGACTGTTAAACGTCTTCCACAATATTGATCTCATGAAGGTTTTAAGGGTTGTGAATCGGACATGTCTTTCTTTAACAGGAGGTTCCTTCGAATCTCGACGTTAGTCCCTTTAATGCGTTGCAGTAAATTTGTTAAGTGTATTTTTCTCCTCTTAATTCTACTTTTATTGGTACCATTAAGGCTTTATCACAGTTTTTCAATACATGTATTTAGGTAAAATGGTATCAATATATTTATGCGAATAAATGGGGGGGGAGGGGGAAATGTTTTGTACTCAGTATCTCTGATCTATTTCTAAGAACCAAATATTGAATTAAAAAATTGTAAATGCTAACAAATCTGGAATAATTTTCGGAATAGAAAACTCTACTTAATAGTTTATATAACAATATCTTAACTTGCCTGAGTCCGAATTTAATGAATTTGAGCCGTGTCTCAAATCCGCCAAAAACCGATTTCAATTGAGCGCCGGCTTAAATCTTGAAACATTTAATACAATTTTAAGTGAACCAGCCATATTTCAGCCGCGGCTCAAATTTGTTTAATTCCGTCTCTGTTTAATATATGTAAAATATTGTCTTATGATTATGTTGTGTACATGGGTATTTGTTTTCTTGGAAATTCAAATTAATTTCTAGTTGAGGAAAACATATACCATTGTACAATCCTGATATTAATCTTTAACTTTAAAAATCTCCAAATGCTCACTTTTTAGAAAATAGTTTTAAACTTGACAATGCAGCTATTTTAAGAAACAGGATATCTCTCTTTTTATACTTTCCCTCAAACTGAAAATATTGCTTAAGATAACTGAAGATAATTTATTATATCTCCGAGGGGATTAATTACAATTGTATGCCCTTCTATATCACGGTACTTTTGAAAAAAAAAGAATATTATTTTTTAATAGTTTGTGAGAAGAAAATGAAATAAGACTTTGGTTAGACAAAATTGAAGATAAAATCAGTTTAAGAATTTATTTTTAAGTTAAGCTTTAATATCAAGTCAGGATCAAGAAAACTTTTTTGTTGCAAAAATGGCCAAAATTCTCTTGTATGTATGTTTCGGCTAGTCAACTGTGAAGTGTGTACTGTACACTAACACAGGGTGCTTTATTTACAAAATACAGTATAGTACAGTACAGTACAGTACAGTACAGTACAGTACAGTACAGTACAGTACAGTACAGTACAGTACAGTACAGTACAGTACAGTACAGTACAGTACAGTACAGTACAGTACAGTACAGTACAGTACAGTACAGTACAGTACAGTACAGTACAGTACAGTACAGTACAGTACAGTACAGTACAGTACAGTACAGTACAGTACAGTACAGTACAGTACAGTACAGTACAGTACAGTACAGTACAGTACAGTACAGTACAGTACAGTACAGTACAGTACAGTACAGTACAGTACAGTACAGTACAGTACAGTACANGTGGGAAATCTTGATGGTTGCATGTACTAATAGAAAGCTTTAACCCTGAATTTATAGGCACGTAATTAGGGATTTTGAAAAGGAGGTCCACATTTGTGTAAAAAAGCGAGGAGCAGGCGAAACTTGTTTTACTCAAGTATGATAAAAAACTGACATTTGTTGGTATATATATGCAAGGTAAAAACTTTTTATTATTCAACCAGTAGAATTTTATGTTTTTACGTTCTGAGGTAGGAATTAATAAATACCAGTTAAACCACTCCTCTAACGGAGAACTTGTTCAAATAGGCTGATGTAGTTGAACCAGTTCTCTATCGTTTATTAAATCCCAACACTGTTCTTCCAACATGCCATCAAATCATTAAAATTTAGCACAACATTTATACAAAAAAAGAGACAAATATCTTTCCCAACAAAAGTTAAGTTGTCTTTAAAGAGATAATTAACTTAAAGAATTTTTCCTTTTGCAATTCATTTAATATGTAACAATTCAGGATCTATATATAGTTCATCTATCTGCCTTATCATGTTTATTACATACCCTGACCGGCCCGACTGGTCAATCTATTTTACCCGTTATCAAAAAATTAGTACCATATCAACCGTTGTTTTATACGGACGTAAGTAGCTAGGTTAGGTTAGGAATACAGTCAGGATTGACTGCAGAATTAGAGTTAGAGACAAGAATTGAGAGAAATCTCGGGACCTAGATTATTACAAATACAATGATATCCAATATTTATACACTTACCTAAAATTCAATAAAAAGGAAAACATATTTTAAGCATGCTTCATTTGTTTCCGGAGCTAGGAGGAAGGAGGCAGGCAAAAAGGAAAATAAGCCGGCAGTCTCGCTGCTCGTGCACCCAATCTTCAAAAATGGGGGTGCACGTAGTACGTACACCGTGAACCCCCCCCTAGTTACGGGCCTCCCTGAAAAGACTTTAACAATTGTTTTAAAATAAAAAAAAAACTGTAGAAAAAACGTAAAAACAATTATTAATCTTTAAATTCGCCTAGAACTTAAATTTGATCAATGGCTTACCGGGGGCTACAGGAGTTCAATGTGAAGAACCCTTTAATTGCGCGTAGCATGAACACTTTTGGGGGGAGCAAGATTTAGGTCAAAATTTAATAGTTTCTATTCCACCCTTTTCCAAATTTTTTAGCTGTAATGGGACTTTCATTCACAATACATCGCATATATATTTTATTGTTTAAAGCAATAGCTTATTACAATACCGAATAGAGCGTGAAATTTAAACTAATTAACATCACTAAATATTTTAACTAAATAGAAATTCTTTCAGTATTATAGTATTTTTGATTATCAGATATTTTTCGGCTATTCCCCGTAGCTTTCCCTCTCAGGGATGAGTAATTTACATGCTTCATAGTGAGCAATTTTCCAGGGGGTGAACGGCCGCTCTATGGCTCACCCTTAATAAAGTGGCCTTTAAAATTTGACTATGAACATTTTACAATACATATGCGTGCAACTCCATATACTTCGGCTCTAATAATAAATAAAAAATCAATGAAATATTCAGGTCATAGGAAACTATTACGTGAATTATCTAAATTATCAAAATTAAATGCTTTTATCCTCCAGGATACTAGAGGAACACTGATGATGCATATATTCTTGTTTCAAACATAGCCAAGAGGGAACTGGTATTAATTTGTACGCCAGAGAATACGCAACTGCAATTAACTTTTCTTACCAATTATTGCCTTGTCCAGCCCTACCGGTAATTAGGACTGGGCAAAGTTCCGTTACAAAAAGAAGGTTTTCGAAAAATTAACGGAAGAGTCCGTTAACGAACGGCAAAACAATTAGTTGTCAAACCGTTAACGAAACGGATTAGCCATTTTGGTGGAAAAAACATAACGGTCCAAAACGAAAACGGAACGAATGGAATTTTAAAGAACGGCTTGGAAAGGTTAAAACGTGTCCAGCCCTACCTGTAATTCATAAACTCTGTTATATATGTACTCAGTCTACTCTTACTAAAAGCTTTTATCTAAACATTTTAGATATATCAGTTAGATACACACTTAGATATATAAAGAAAGAATAAAGATAGAAACAGAGTTATAAAAATGAAAAATAAATCGGATAGATATAAAAAAAGAATAAAAAGTTGATGAAGTAAAAATATGAATAAATAATGAAAGATAAGTCGAATAGATATATACAAACTTATATATAAAAGAGAGAATGAAGAAAAAATTAAGAAAGATAGAAATACAGTTATTAAAATGAAAGAAAGATGTAAAAGGAAAAATTAAGAAACATAGAAATAAAAGTAAAACAATTCAGAAAAGAAAGAATAATAATTTAAGAAAGATAAAATATAGATATAAAATATAGATATAAAAATGAAAGAACGAAATAAAGTAAGACAGAACAGAGTGAAAGAAAGAAAGACAGAAAGAAAAAATAGTTAGATAGATTGACAGTGCCATTGATAACCGATACCCAGCGTACGAACTGTCCTCTTTGTTATTCTTTGCAATTAGAATTGCCGCACATTTTCAGAAATATTTCCAGTAAAAAATTACCCTAGGATTTTTTTAAATCTCAGCTAAAAATTTGATTGTATGCTTTAAAATTCTTTAAACTTTAAAATAATTGCCTGTTCGAAATTTTAGTTTAGCATGATGTAAGTATCAAATAAAAGATTTAAATGTCCCTTATCGGATTTTTTATGTTGAATTAAAGAGAAAAATTGTCGTGTTTAACTCAAATGTTTTCTCTTAAAATTAATGTACACTAAATTGTTAAATGTTAAAATTCCTTTAACCCACTTTTTATTCACAGGCTATGCTGGGCGGTAAAATGTCCGATCCGTGTTAAAAATCTAAAATAGAAGAACTTTTTTTTGTCTAAAGCAGATCTAACATTTTTGAAAATACGTATACTCATGGTTACATCTTAATACTTGTTAAAATCAAAAATATCATTTTTAACATGTTTCTGACCTTTTTTTGGCATTTTATTCAATACTGTCCAGCAACCAAACTATTAAAGTTAGCAGTCTAAATGGTTTCCAATGAGCTCGCCGTGAAAAGTTTGGTTATAAACCTTTATTGTAAGGCCTTTTTCTAGGGGGGGGGGGGGCGTGGGACGCCCCCTGGCTCTTCATAGATTCAGACCCCAGCCTTCATAGGGTTAAGCGTTGTTAAAGATTCTTCTCTGTTTAGTTTTGTTTATTAGTTGCTTAGACCTTGATATTGAAAATATGTTGATACAGTATATTGGATTCTTTAGTTCATACCGATCTATAAAACATTTATGAAAACTATGCATATACACTATACAGGGTGTCCCACGAAACATGACAGTGTTTGAATAGTTTTTATGTCTTCCTACATGATACTGTCTTTTAAATACTTTAGACTTTTTGCAGTTTATTTGTAAGAAAAAAATCTTTTACTCAAATATATTTTGCTTTGAATTCAATTTTACTGTAATGTGACTGCAGCCATAAGAAATTTTTGTAGACAAATATTTCTTATACAAATGGAGTACCTTCTAGAAAGCATATGTATAATCATATGGTAGGGTGGGCCGCGTCAGTTGTATCTCCCTTCTATTTCATACTCCTTGAGTACTGCTGAGTTTAAGATACATGTCCAAAATAACAAATATTTATAATCAGCAATATTATGAAATATGTTAACATACATCTTTAGTCTTGCAGAAGTGCTCATCATGATTACTTTAAAAGTTCTTTTAAGTTAGAATCAATTTTTTGGGTAAAAAATGGCGAAGATTAAAAAATTCGGTTTTCTTTTGTGCATAAATCTGATTTTAATTTCTGCACAATTCCGCGCAATTCGAGAACACTTGTGAGCAATCCCGCGTAGTGGAATTCCAATTGCTAATGTACAGAGGTTGGAGGGTTCCTAGTTGATATATTTAAAAATATGTTTACATAGCTCATCAATTCTCAATCGGACAATGCTTTTAAGGGTACAGTACAGTACAGTAAAGTACAGTACAGTATAGTACAGTACAGTACAGTACTGTTTTGAATCGGACATGCCTCTCTAAAAATAGAAAAGAGTAACTTACCATTATATTTACTCTTACAATTCCTTTAACCCTATTTACCCTGACGTATGGTTTCCTGACCGGTTCCGGCCCTGGGTGGGGGGCAAATTGACCCCTCCCCCTCTGTTTTTTTATTGTGATACAAATCTAAACTATTTATGGAAAGCCCTTGGGCTCTTCTTCAATAATCTGTAAAAAATCCAAATATTTATTGCGAAATATAGTTGTTAAGCAAAAAATGTGCAAACAAAAAAAATCCGCAAATTGCAATAAATTATACATTTTTGTTATGATTGAAGACGTTCCAAAGAAAGCTTCGCCGCAGAATTTCTTCTGGAATTTTGGAAGCTTAAGACTTCCACCTCCAGTATAACTTTCTTGAAATCATCTCTGAATGTTCGGCAGATTGGCCCATCCAACATCTCAAAACAAAACCCTTCAGCTAATAACTATCTTTTAATATTAGGCCTATAATCCCTAGATTGTATCTTGAGCGTTTCTGGATTCTTACCTAGAATAGCCATCTATAGAGTCATTGTGAGCTTTTATTCTAGCGTATTAAAATAATCATTTTAAGCTTTTTTTAAAATAATTATTGTAAAATTAAAATCAAAGTTATAAATAATAACCCCCATATAGTAAAATTAGAAATAAAAATAATCATGAGACAAAGATAACATTGGGTTTCCTAGTGTTCCAGTTTCCTGCAATAAAAACAAAAACTTGTATAACATTTTAAATGCAGTCTTTGATGTTAGCAATCAGCTGTGGTTATGTAATGTGTTCTTCATTTTTATGTTTCCAGAGCCCGTGATTTAAAAACTTCGGCTCGAGCTGTAATTCCTTAAACCCGACTTTAAGGCCCAATCTTCGACCCAACTCTAACGAAAGCTTGTGCCAAATGATTGACAGCTACAAGATTTTCGGTTCGACTTAAGAAGTTAGGCCCAGTGAAAATAAAACCGACCTTGATTGGTTTTAGTGGAGAATAAGGCTTCAGAAAAACCGGAATGCGCCATTTCGACCATGAAAATTCGCCAAATAGAATATTAAACAGGTTTTTTGAACTCAACTCTGTGAAAAATAAGATGCAGCTTGAATCTAAAAGTTCAAGCCGTAATAAGGCCCAACGACAGCTTAGACCCGAGCCGTATTTTCCCGTATTTTTTAAATCGCCGGCTCTAATAGGACACTCATCCTACCTGGAAAAATGCATAAGTCCCATGCTCCTTGAACACGGACCCGTGCCGAGTGACTGTTTGCTTAAATCTTTGACTTTCTCAGTTATCTAAATAAGATTTAAAAATTCAAATACAACATGAAAGTAAGATTAGCTTGATTATGTAAATGATAATTTAAATCCTTGCGTTTATTCTAGTAGAGATCATTTTACATTTTTCTTAAAAACAATTTGGTTTGTTTAAAAATTTAACTTGGTTCTCATTTTTTATTGTAAATGTATATTTTTCTAGTTTTTTTCCCATGAATATATGTCTGTAGGTAGTATGTTTCCTTACATTTGTTGAATATCTGTTTTATAAAACTGTGTCTCTTGCTTACTTTGTCTTACACCGTTGTTCCAATAAATCTTTTCACTTTACTATCTTTAGCTAGGTTGTTTTCTGCATTTTCTAATTCTATAATTATTTTTGTTGGAAATCCTTTTTCCCTTAAAATTGTTTTCACTATGTTGCTTTGATGGGCGTATTCTTCATTTGAGCATGTATGTGTTCTCGCTGTTCAGAAATACCCTAATCCTGCCATTTTGTTATATTTTAAACTTCCATTTGAGTTAAAAGGAATAACATCAAATTTTGATTTGTCTTTTAGTAGAACTGTAGTTGTGGGAAACTTATTCCCTGGTATATTGAAAATTTTTATATTTAGGAATTTTCCATGTATTATTTTTGTTTCTACATTAAGCTGGAAGCTCTCCGGATATCTGGTTCTAACTATTTTTATTACTTCCAGCATTTTATCTATCTCTCCTGTCACATGTACGAATACATCGTCTTGAAACCTTAAATATCTTGCTACATTTTTACCTAATTTTGACTCATGTATTTGGTCGAAAATTTTCAGTTCATATGTTCTAAGAATAATTTCGCTTCTTCTAGCAGCAGAATTATCTCCCATAGAAAAATCATTTAGTGTTTAAAAATCCCTTTTGACTGTTTAAAATAAGAGTTGTTCATTGTTACTCTCAGTAATTTTAAAACATAGTCTAACAATTCAGGTTCAAGTTTAACGATTTTACCAGCTGTTTTAATACATTTTTCCAATAGTTCTCTTTTACAGTGTAAATCTCCTAAATCCCCCTCCATTTTGATTGACTTTCCCCATTCACCAGTGTTTGAGTTTTTCACTCTTGATCTTTTAATACCTCTACAGGTTAAATTTGAAACATTCGCTTTGTTAGTTGTTTTTAGTTTAAGCATTTTTGGCATCAATCTTAATGTCCCTATTTCCTGTTAGTTTCTTGTCCATATGAAATCTGATTTTTTTTATTATTTCTGTATAGTTCAACTGGAATCTGTTCATTTGCACCCTTTAGAAAATTATTTATATTTTTAGATACCAATCTTCCTTCATGATTACCTTGCCAAAATGTTGTTTCCTGTTTATATCCTCGTATTGTTCCAATAGATCTGTTGTGTCTATACACATGTATCCCATATTCTTATCTGCAGCAATCAAAATTTGATCCATATTTAAGCTTAAAATTTTATCTAGATCTGTTTGTATTTTATAAGATTTTTGTTATTGTTTGAATTTTTCATGTGTTTTATTTTGTTTTTCAATTTTGCAGCGTTTTTCTATTGATAGTAACAGTTCGGATAGTTGGTGATTCTTTCTAATTAACGCTGTCTTTTTCAATTTTCTGATTTTGATAAACAACTTTTTTGTTTTCACGTTCTTAGCATTCTTTCCAAAAATGTTGTTTAAAATTATATTTATTTCTATTTCAAAGTTGTTTATTTCTTCACTAATATTTATTTGGCTACACGTGGTGAACTTTTAAGTTTTAAGTTTGATATTACAGCGGGATCTATGGGCTTATCAGAGAAGTTGAAAAAATTCTCCATTTTTAAGTTTACTATAATATTCTCTATTTCAGTTTCGCCATCAATGCTATAATGTTCTTAATTTTTGTTTGTAAGCAAGCCTTCATCGGTTCTATTATTCTGTTTAATGTTCTCATTTAGTTTCTTGGTTACTATGTGCATTTTTGCATTTCCTGTTATTTTCTTTACATTATTTTCTATATCAAATTTCTTTAATTTCCTTGTTATTTCTAGTTTAAAAATAATCCAATTCACTTCAAATTTATCACCTGATGAAATAAATAGGGTATTCATTCCATATATACATTTTACTGCCAAGTCCCCAATTTTTGTTACAGGTTCTATTAATTTCTCACTTACTAATTTAATGGATATACCAATATCCTGGGTTACCATGTTTTGGGTTGACATCGCCATCTAAACACATTTTAATAACGGATGACTGTTGTGAAAAATAAATAATTTTTAGATGGCAGTACCAAAATAAATTTTGTTTATTAAACGAAATTATAAAATTAACACTTTTTCGCATGTTTATTAATTATCTTAAATGGTTAAATACACAACAGTTACCAAAAGATCTGATTTCATGTTTATACTTTTGAATCCTGTTCTTGATTCACTATAAAAATTTAATGTTTTTTTAACTAATCTTTCGCCATATTAAAATACTTTTTCTGATTTTACAATTTTTTTTCTTTTTTTGATTTCCTTGAGTTATGGCTTGCATGAGTTTCTGAAATACTCAAGAATTTAATGTTTTATCATTTTCCATCATGGGGAATAAAATTAACAATAAAGGAATTGAGTTTTTGTCACAAACTCTGATTTTCTAATTTCAATATAGTTGCAACCCAATGTCGTAGATCTTTAATTTTTCAAACTATGAATTCTGTTAGATAAAATAATGTAAGTTTGAAATATCAAGGGTTTACATCATAAGATTGCAAAGATATAGGTTTTACAAAAACTGAATTTGTGGCAAAGACTCAATTCCTTTACGATATTCTAGTTTTTCGATTTACTGGTTATTTTGAAAAGCATATTTTGGTTAAGAGATCAACATGTTTTTTTACTAAACTTTTAGTATTTATCTCTGTCTCCTTCATTCCCTTACATCAATCACTAGAACTTCTTCATCATTTGAATTGTTGCTTCCACTGAGTTGTTATTGGATAAAATCCCATACTTGGTTATTTTCTTTTGGGAGTGATCCAATTTTCCCTTCATCCTAGCATTGTGTTCCTGCTTTTTCATGAGTACTTTAATCCCTTTCCTTGGAGCAGTTTGAAATTTATCAGAAACAGTTCTCTAGGTCTACTGATTTGGAATCCTCTGAGTCTAGGTATTGAGACATCTTCCGGTTTTATCAAACTTATTGCAAGTACTGGAGAGGTAGATGGCCCAATCATTATTGAATTTAAACTTTGAAGAGTATTTCTCTTTTATTTTAAAATCGCCCCTGAATAGGTAATACTCTTCCAATTGTATTTTCTTGGAGATCTCTTTTATCTCATCTTCTGTCCAGAAAGCCTGGCTTTGAACAAGTTGTCTTTCCATTCCCAGTATAAAATGTAGATTCCATTTGTTGGGATCATTGTTCTGTCTTCATTCATATCTACTATTTGTCCATATACTGGTCTTGAGGTTTTCTTCCCAAGCAACCCAACGCTTTCTAATACATCCTTGGTTTAATTTCTAGATTCACTATTTGTAAACCAAACTACTGGCCACGTGAGTAACATCTTATATCTTTGACCTATCCTGTCTCTTGTTATCTTTTTGTTTAACAGTAAATCAGGATCTTCTTGTTGAGTTAGATCTTCTAATGTTCAATCTAATCTAATATTCGATTTTCATGGTAATTTTTTTCATCTCCATACTCTTTTCTCCTATTTTCTTCTTGGGTCACTTCCTTTTCCCTCTGGTAATTTTCCTTCTCTACCATCCTTTCACGTGATAAATAGTTGGGTGAGGGGGGAGGAGAGTGCAAGTTCTTTTTCCTTTTCCTTTTCTCTTTCTTTTCTTGGATGTTTCTGGGGAGCTGATGTCCGAAAATAATCCTCTTTCTTTTCACGGTGATTCATTTTTAATTTTTTGTATTTATTCTAATCTCTTATTGGTGACGAGTCTCTGGTTCTTTTGATACAAATTAATAATTAAATGTACTGTGATCTTCGCGGAGTATGAGCAGAGAATCAAAATCTTATTTTCAAAAACTTTGGTGAAGGTTCAATCCAGTCCCTGGTTGGGAGCTGAGGAATTCTTGGTTTAGAAAAGATTTTAACACTCTTCTCCATTTTAATGTGAACACAAACGCTTCTTTTTCTTTGTATGTGTGTCCCGATTTCTTGTATTAATCGTTAATTTCTTTGGTACCAGTCTCTTCTCCTTTTTATTAGACCAGGTTGCACATTGAAATTTCTCAGTTTTCTTCCTATAGAAGATGCTGTAATATTCCCCACATTCTAGGCGTTTCTGCATTTCTATTTCGTGAGATTGATATCAGCAAAGGCAGTTTTTAGTTGGTCTTGAGAATCCGACCCAGATGACGACTATGTTTCCTTCTTCCTTTTGGTTTGTCCCTTCTCCTTGACTCCAGCGGTTCTTTTCTCTTATTTTTCTGTTTTGGAGTATTCCTTCATTTGAGTTCCAATTGATTTCAGATCTATTTCTTCCATTTTTTCCTTTCTTCGCCAGTCATCTCGGAAATAGATTCCTCATCTTGCTTCCTTTCCCTTGATTCTTCATGTTTTTTCTCCCTTGACCCAGCGAATTCAAATCTGCAAAAACATTTTTAGAATTTTTTGAACCCATTGTGTATTCAAGAAAAGTTGAAAATGTGCAAATTCCTATTAAAGGTGCCGTGCAAAAATTTAGCAATCTGGTTGCTTTTGCTATAGGCTTTCTAAAGGGCTATAAAATGTTAAAAACCAATGACTGGAAGTAGGTCTAAATATAGATTTAGTATGTTATAGGTAAAATAAGGCATTTAGGCAGTATGCCTGAGGACTCAGGCAGTATATAAAAGCACAGCTTTTAGTCTTAAATGATGGGCATGTGTTAGTTAGAATTTGAGCTGCCTAGCTAAAATACTTTTTGTCTAAATTGCGTTAAATGTAGCCTAGCCTAATATCTGTACAATTAGTTTAATGACTCTCGTTGTTCAAAAAGCATATTACTTCCCAAGTCTAATCCTTGCAGTTCTTTCTTTACAATGGAAAAGAAACTTTAGAAATTGGGGGAACTTGTTACGAAAAGTTAAGTAATTTTATTCAATTTTGAGGGAATTTATCACATCTAATATTTTTCGTTAAAAGTGACTTTATCGCCCTACAACATGGCGAAAAAGTAACTTTATCACCCCAATATTAAAATTCCAAATTTTATACCTAATTCGCGTTGTAGGGTGATAAAGTTACTTTATCCTCTAAAACAGGGTGATTAATTAATTTATTCGATCAAAATAAAAATGCTTTTACACCTCACAGTACGTGCGGTAAAATACTTTTATTTTGAAATCAAACAAACTTAAAAAAATAAAATCCCGGCAAAAATTTTTTCGCACTTAATGATAATAATAACAAATATATATTTGGAAAAAGTTTTTTTGATATTCATTTCATAAATTTTATAAATTCGAAGCAGAACATGTTAAAATAGATTAAATTGGAATTGCCTGTATGACTTGCATGACTTGAAAATATGAAGAATTATTACTGATTAGTTTAGCTAGCTCTAGTACCCGGTGTTGCCCAGATTTAAAAAACATAAAATAAAAATTATTTAGATTTTTTGAATTATGTATTGAACTACAAAATTGCATTATTGTGTCTGTGTATATGACGCAAAACCGTTCAATCCAGATTGCGAATTGTATTACTCAATTATAAGCGCTATGATCTGCCAAAATAAGTTTTGTGCAATTTTTCATTGCAAATTGTTTTCCGTAACATGCTCATCACGTGCAATGAGCAAAAGAATGGTGTCCGCATTTCGAAAGGAAAATACTATTGCGTGGAACTGAAACCCCCTTTTTTAAGAAGATGATATATTCTGATTTACTTTACTTTAGTAGTCAGTAAGTATGCTGAGCTGAAAACTCTAGTATTGGATACCATTAATCCCGATTGCGAAATCTCTATATCCACTGTGGACATTTTTAATTTTCTTCATAATCCATTTTGGGTTCCAACCAATGAGAGCTCTCTCATAGATTACGCGCAAAATTTTACAATTATCTCGTCTTCTGATAAAACTGTTCACTTTCTGCAATCGACAATTTTCTGTCTTCATAACAAAAGAAATTGAGTCTTTGCCACTCTGATTTTCTAATACCTAATATCCGATTGAACTAATGTACTTTTGCACTAAAGTCAGCTGATCAGTAACACTTGTGGCCGCAGCGCCCGGCCCCTAGCCTGTCCTAGCCGCGGCGCTCGTCCCCCTAGCCTGTCAGTGACCTAGCCGCAGCGCTCGAACCAGAAATTGTCTTAACCTAACCTAACACTCAAATAAAACGTTAGTCCGAATGAACGTTAGTGCGAATGTACGTTAATCATTAGTGCAAACGATACGACACTAACTTTTTAACCCAATGTCGTAGACCCCATATATTTTAAACTATGAACTCTGTAAGATCAAATAATCTAATTTTGAAATATCAAATATTTACACCAATAGGTTGCAAAGTTATAGAAACTCTGCGACTAAGACTCAAATACTTTGCAATTTTTATTATTATTATGACACAGATGTAAAAAATAAAGTATATCTGATAAATAAAACACAGAATACTTTTCCATTTTATTGATGTACAATTTTTTTTAAATAGTCATCGGTAGCATGAGTTAGATAAAATAAAATATACATGATTTTAAATCAAAAATAAAACTTTTCAACTGAAAAATAAATCATTTAGGATTGAATCAAATAAATAAAAATGTTGATATAAAATTTTTTTAGTTATTAAACTTAACATTTTTAGTACACAATCAATCAGTAAAAACTTTAAAAATAAAACCTAGTAAGTGAGACCCATAAAACTTAGGAATATGAAGACGATGTTTAGGCAATCTTATGATTATTTGATGCTGCTATAAAGCAAAAAATTTTACGAATTGTTTGAAACCTGACTGATATAGTGATATGGGTCTGTTTCAATTGTAAAATGGCTGTTTTTTGATATTCTTAAAGGACTCGGTTAGGATTATTTAAACTTATAACTTGAACAGTCGTCTTCCTAGTCCAAATTTTACTAGGTCCCACTGTGTGCTCTGGAGAAATAATTCCGTTATATTTGGTATACTGTATCCGGGACCCGGAATATAATTGTGTCCTCGGAGAAAACCATCCATCCTCCGTATTGAGGAGGATACCCGGAGTCCGGAGACCGACTAGAACTGGATTTGTTTAACCTAAACCAGTCCTGGCCTAGGGGTGAGCAATACATCATGGCATTTAATGGAAAATAAAAGAGCTCGTATTTTTGACGCGGCATTCACAATTAAGCCGTCAAAAACTAATTGACAAGAACTGCTTTAGTCTCAAAAATTGAAAATATTTGATTTTTTCCAAGTTAAGAAATAGCAAACTTTGTTTCTGAAAAGTATTCTAGTTGTAAAAAGGTTTTTTGTTTAAAGTTTTCAAGATGAACAAAATTTTACTTGATAAGGATGGAGTGGGGACTGGGGAATGCATAAGCAGAGGTTGTAAAATTGTAAAAAGACAAAAATTCGTGGATTTTTTTTTTGATTTCTTGCTCTTGGTGCAGCTTTTCATATACTGTATTGAACAGGGTCAAACAGTTCTTTGAAAACACTAGTTTGGGAACCCAGCATTGCCCAGGTGACTCATAGTTTCTCCCGCCGTTTACCCGCATTTGGTTTTTAACTCCGATTTTAGCTAATTTTCCCTATTGAAGTGAAACAACCCAACTTAGAATCTGAAAACCTAACTAAAAACATACCCGTTGTTTTTCCGAGTTCCCCCGATTAAAATTTTAGGCAAATTGGATTCGAAGTAACTTTATTTGCAATTTACAGAGCGTCTAATATAATATCTAACCTCTATTTTAAGAACCGATAGTTTTTACATCTACATTTTATGAAAGTTGTCCCTGTTCCTTTATACCCGCATATTCCTTATTTTCTGAAAATATGAAGAAGAAAAAACATATTTTCCCGTCTGTAGAAAATATATGCTGAAGACTTGTAATAAAAACACTGTTAAATATCAAATTATTTTACATTTACATTTACATTTTATGAGAGTTGCCCCTGTTATTTTATAACTCGGACACATCAGTTGCAAATAGTCACGTAAATGGAGATATTTCAAACCTGTAATAAAATGCAGGTATAATAAAAATAAATATCAATGTATTAATGTTATTGAATGTTTAAAAAGATTTCTTACTATTTTGTCATGTCAGGTTGATATGGAGTGAATAAAGATCGGAGGGTTTGATGGAATAGTTTTAAATATTGTAAATACTTTCGAAAAATTTAAACCTGTTTGTTTAAGTGGAATTTACTATGGATTGCAAAGTTATTTGTGGATTTGATTTTTCACTAGTAAAACATTTCACAGTTTGTTGTCTTTTGTCGGAGAGTACAGAGAAGTTGTCTGAGAATTGTCCGAGAGGGGGGTAAAGACAACTTACGGGAGGGGGGGGGGGGTAAAAGTTAGATTTATGGTTAACAATATTATCAAAAACGTAAAAGTTATGACTTCTCCTATTGAAAAGCTATTGAGAGGAACAAAAATCTTTTTGAAATTCTATTATATAGAATGAAGTTGATCCTCTCCTTTAATTTAGTTAAGTGGTGGTAGAATTAATACTCATAGTTTAAAATATTAAAAAGGTTGAAATAAGATTGAAAAGAAAAAGAGAAAAGAATATTAGAGTTTGAGACAAGTAATCAGTTCCCTCGTTTCTTTTCTTTTATAAAAATATGCAAAAACAAAAGTTATCTTTATAAATATAAAATGTAAAGGATTCGTCGTTTCTCCACTAAAACTCAGAATTACTGCACTTTAGCAAAATTAAGCTTCATTTTAGAACTTGTTCGTATCAAAAGATCATGAGTTGTATTAAAACATTAAAATCAAGGTCATGATTTGTATAAAAACATTAGAATCAAGATCATGATTTGTATAAAAAACATTAGAATCAAGGTCATGATTTGTATATAAAAAACATTAGAATCAAGATCATGATTTGGATAAAAAACATTAGAATCAAGATCTTGATTTGTATGGAAAAACATTAGAATCAAGGTCAACAAAAAATTTCAGCCCAGTCAGTCTAGCGTTTGGCTAGCTATGGTGAAATATAACCGTATGTCTTGTTTTACTATATTAGATATATTATATTTATACTAGCTTGGGAACCCAGCGTTGCAAGGTTACTATATTAGTCCAGCCATTTGGCTGGTTATTGGTGAAATATAAGCGAATGTCTTGTTTTATTATATTAATTACCCGCACTTGAACGCTTTTACCGGGAAACTAAATTTTCTCTATTAAAGTCGATCCATCCAACCTAAAATCTTAAAACCAAGATAAGAACATTCCCGTGGACCTCCCGAGTTCTCCAATCAAAATTTGAGATAACCTCAACTTTGTATCCAATGTTGTTTGGAATTTGAACCAAAATTTAACTTAAAATACAAGTATAGAATTTTTTAGAAAAAGAAATATGGATTCAATGGATTCAGATTCTTTCTCTAATTTCTCTTCTCCTGGAATACAAATACAAGGTAAAGCGATTTTTACAGGCATGGGTGCATAAAGCTAGGGGCTAACCGCTGGATCCTAAGGTTGCAACCCCAGTCTAATCAACTATGTCCTTTATCGAAAGATATTTAAGAAATCGTTAACGGAGCTGTTCACGGTTATTTAATATGAAAATAGCGAGCAAAATGACAAGACGACAGTCAAAAACATCATTTACACCAAATTTGTTTTTCTTTCCAGTAATTTTCATGAAATTACAAGCAGATAAAAAGATATAAATGAGATACTTTATTTAATACATATATACTTTGCTCGTCTATTCGTCAAAATGGCTGAACCGATTGGGCCAAAAATTTTGTGGGCCTCACATGACCCCAGGAAAGGTTTATGGTTGATCAAAATTTTAAAAATTTGCCTTCAACAAAATTCGATCTTCATTAAATTAAAAAAATCCACAAACTTTTTATAAAATCCGCGATATTTTGAATTTTTATTTACAATGTACACAAACAGAAAATGTTCACAATTGAAAAAGATAATAAAGCCTAGTTTACTGCCTAGTTTTTACATTTTCCCAACTTGTTTTTTATATTGTCAAGGCATATGTGTCATGTTGTATTTTAAATCAACAAAGTAAACACACATATATTCATTCCACATCAACTCTACTCTCTACACATATATTCATTCCACATCAACTCTACTCTCTACACATATATTCATTCCATATCAACTCTCCTCTCTACACATATATTCATTCCATATCAACTCTCCTCTCTACACATATATTCATTCCACATCAACACTCCTCTCTACATACATATATTCATTCCACATCAATTCTACTCTCTACACATATATTCATTCCATATCAACTCTCCTCTCTACACATATATTCATTCCACATCAACTCTACTCTCTACACATATATTCACTCCACATCAACTCTACTCTCTACACATATATTCATTTCACATCAACTCTACTCTCTACACATATATTCATTCCACATCAACTCTACTCTCTACACATATATTCATTCCACATCAACTCTACTCTCTACACAAATATTCATTCCACATCTACTCTACTCTCTACACATATATTCATTCCACATCTACTCTCCTCTCTACACACATATATTCATTCCACATCAACTCTACTCTCTACACATATATTCATTCCACATCAACTCTCCTCTCTTCACATATATTCATTCCATATCAACTCTCCTCTCTACACATATATTCATTCCATATCAACTCTACTCTCTACACATATATTCATTCCACATCAACTCTCCTCTCTACACATATATTCATTCCATATCAACTCTACTCTCTACACGTACATTCATTCCACATCAACTCTACTCTCAACACATATATTCATTCCACATCAACTAGCTCTCCTCTCTACATTTGTTTAATATATCAGAGATTGAAATTAATAGATACAAGACGAATAGTTCAACTAATCCTTACTGTCCTTCTCAATTAGTTAATCCAGCCAAACCGGCTGAACTCTATAATTCAAACAGCGTACATATATTAATTTATATTAATCAAAATTTCTTGGATCTACCAGTCAATCATCTCGAAATCAATCTTGAATTATTTAATGTAAAAAGTGTATTTTCACGTTTATATCAATACAATAAAGATATTGATTGATTGATATTGATTGATATTAATTGAAATGAAAGTCGTCTTTATTGTATTGATATCATTGCCTACCACTGTATGTGTGCTAAGACTTAATTGTTTGGTTTGGATAATGCTGAGCCACGACGTTTCAAAAACAATACCTGTGGGAACAGACTAAAATTGTGATATATAAAGATTAAAAATTCAAAACATTTACCACAGGTTCGTTTTAAATTTTTGATAACTTTATTTACAATCAAACTTTTATTGATTAGGCATAAATGAATCTATGAATTCTGTTATATTAAATAGGCTAAGTTTGAAATATCAAGGGTTTCCACCATCAGGTTGCCAAGATATAAGGATTAGAAAATTCGAGTTTGTGGCAAAAACTCGATTCCTTTAAGGTTCTTCTTTCAATTTACGCTCTGCCTCAAATTTATTTTTATTATTATAGGTGCATAGCCAAATTTATTTAATATAACCCACTTTTTTGAACATTTCATATGTCTTACTTTGATACTTCGGGGGCTAAAGAGATTTTTTTTAAATGTGAAGTACGTCGGAAAATGTAAATTTATTCTTTTATTTTTATAATTAATACTGTGTGACAAAGGGATTATACATCCACTGAAAATAATCTTTAAGGAACTATATATTTTCGATCTCAAGCTCTTTTCTAAAGAAGTATTCGGAGAATATGTAATTAATTTCTCTTACCAGACCCCAAGAAAATTCAACATAGGTTATTAAAGTGACTGCAGTCATAATCTTAAGTGACCCTCCATTTGTAAAGGGACATGTCCGGGTTCACATAGGTACGCCCTGTAAACCTTCATCTTGACAACATCGTCATTATTCTCTCTGTAATATAGTGCTAAGTTTATTACTTTTTTTCCTTGGGTTGCATAAATTTAAGCAAATTACTTTAAAACAGGAACTCAATTTGAGAATAATAAACCTTGGATATCTCAAAGAGATTAGAAATATAAAGAGTAGGCATTGAGAGTTATACGTTGGGTTCGATAAGAAGCCCTAGAATGTCGTCTTTTCTATAATTTATAGAGATTTTAGGACTTATTTTCCTAACCCAAAACTTGCGTTTTTTACGTAATTTGCAGTTAGAAATGCATAACTTTTTTATCCTTTTAGATAAACTTTATCTTAAAACAGATTTCAATGTAATTGGTTAAAAATATTTGGCCACTTAAAACCAAGGTTTGTTTCGTTCCTTGCTCACGTTACTGGCCTAAAATTCTGCTTTAGACTATTACAAAACTATACTTAATGACATCTCATAAATGTTGCTTTAAAATATGTGATATTTTTCATATATATATGAGATGCGTAACAAAATCACAATTTTAGCCTTATTTTAACAGGAGAGCATCCTAGCCTATAACTGATAAAAACAAATTTAGAAGTTTCGTTATTTTCCCACCATTTTTAGCACCTACAATTATTAATTTTTTTGATAACAAGAGTTTAATGTTAATTGTTTGAATCAGGGGCGTAAATAAGGATTCTGTAGGGGGGGG